TGAAACGTTTTAAATACTTCTGAAATAATGTGTGCTGTATGGGGGTGAAGCCATTCCATTTGTCCACTCCCCAGGGCATCTAGGAAGGTGTATAACCTCTTAATTTGGAATGGGCTGACGTTAAATAATAAAGTGTAATTTAAAAAATAAGTAAAAAACTACAAATAAGAATTTGAAGCCGAGCAAGAAAGTCAAACCTCATAGTTTCTTAAAAATACACGAAAAAAAATCGTAGCATATTTTTCACAAATAAAACGGCATATTTAAAAATACTTCTTGATATACAGGATGGATGAAAAGATTGGTAAGTTTACCCGCTCGTATTGATCATTTTATTGGGATACATTTAGCTTTAGTATGGACATTAGTGAAATTAATTTCATAATGGATACCCTTTTCATTTATCAGTTTTATTGACTAGTATAAATAATTATTTTTAATGTATTTTTTATTTTTCCTTTTTTAATCTTTGTATTTATTCTTTTTTTATATAATGAAATTAAAGTGTACAGGAATTTTATTAAACAGTAGACACAATAGTGAATAGATAGATACTTCTGAAACATTAAGATTCTGTCCATTACCACTTTTTAATTGTATCAATAATTTTTCTAACGTCAATTTAAAACGCTTTCCCGAACCAAAACCTAAAATTTTAGAAGTAACCGCATGAACCCAAGCCAATGTCTTCCAATCTCGATAGTGATCAAAAGATGCATTTCCAGTTGATTACCTGTTACAAAATGCAATATCTCAGTAAAAAGATTTAAAACAACTCTGGGTGAAAATCGTCCTGCTATTATCATATATGATGGACATTCGACTCATATTAGCCCTGAGGTAATACAGTTAGCAATTCGAGAAAACATAACAATTCTTAAATTACCTCCGCACAGCAGCCATTTGCTTCAACCGTTAGACTTGTCAGTATTCAAGCCTTTTAAAGACAAATGGGATGAAAAACTAGTATCATGGCAACGCCAAAATATTGGACGTAAGCTACCAAAATCTCTATTTTCAAAGTTTTTAGGGGACACCTGGAGACTTCTATCTCCTGAGGTGATACAATATGGTTTTATAAAAAGAGGAATATACCCATTTGACAAAACAATCATACCAGATGAAAAATTTTGTCCAGAAGCATTACGTCGTTGGCACAAAATGAAAATAAACCAAGAGACCAATTCTGATAAAACAGAAAACAACCAGATTATAGGATCTGTTAATGAAAAAAGTAATTCAGCTTCAAATGCAGAACCACTGCCGTCAACGTCGTCTACTGCAGATACCATCAAAGATGGAGCAAAAAACTTTGAAACATTGCTATTAGAAATGATCAAGCAAAGCCCTCGACCATAAAGTGTACGGCGCAAGAGAGTAGGTACATGCTCAGAAGTCTTAACGTCTAAAGAGGGCAAACAACTCAAAAAACAAAACACAGTTAAATCAAGGTGCCGCAAGAAGGAAGATATTAGTAGCAATGATGAAGACGAAGAAATAGAATACAGAGAATCAGATAATGAAGGGGAGTTCCTACATAATATAGTGCAAGAAAGGGAAATTCAGGACAGAGAAGAAAACGAATTAAATTAAGAAGTAAAGGAAATGAAATGGGTTTTAGTAAAGTACACGTCAAAGAAGAACACGAAGCACTATGTTGGCCGTGTAACACGATGTGTGGAAGATGAATGGGAAGTAAAATTTTTAAAACGAATTTCAACTAAACGACAAGATACGATAAGATTTGATTGGCCTCCTGCAGACGATATTGACACGGTAAACGAAGCAGATATTGCATTGACTTTGCCAGAACCACTCGAAGATAGAAGAGGGTTACCGTATTGTAATATCTTGTTTGATGGATTTAATATTTAAAATATTTCTTATAAACATCTTCTGTAACTTGAATAAAGTAGCCTTTTTGTTTTGTCTTACAATTTAAACTACTTAGTTATTTCATGTCAAAATTTTAGTTAACACCTCAAGATGTATATGTTAATTTTATAAATATTTCGGTGTTTTACTTGAAGTTTAGCTGCTAAAATGTTTAATAAATCAGCTTTTTGCATTTGGAAGGGTTGCTATTTTTTAAGGAAAAGAGTTTGTTGGAGGTTTTTCTGTCGTTTATGTAATAAATTTTCGATTTTGTGTTTTAATAAATGCCATTTCTTTACACGTATTTTTTGAAAAGCTTGTTGCTTTCTTAAATATTAACTGATTTAAATAATTTTTGCACAAAATTTTTCGTAATATATATTTCTTTTACATTTACCCCTTTCTGCCAATAATACAACGTTTATCCGCACCTGAAGCTCAAGTGTTACATTTACCCCTTTTTCAGGGGCAAATGTAACATGTTGCGACATCATTTTAAAAAATATATTCTAAAGACAAAACAGAGACACATTGAATAAATATACTGCTATAAATACATTTATAGATAGTTGTACTTAACAAGGAAAAATTGGCAGATTTTATCCTTAAATGTTCAATATTTTTAAGATACCTATGAAATGTAACTATTCGAAAAACCTGTTGCATTTACCCCAGCTTACCTTAAAAAAAACTAGCAGTGGAGGGTGGTTTCTTAACCTAAAGGGGATGATCTATATGTATACGTCTATTGAATGAATGTCCATACCTAAATTTTTGAAACTTTATAAATTATTTCTCATGGAAAACCTAATTTACTGTGACTACAAATAATTGTAAGGTACAACGTATATCTCCCGTTTTTAAATATCCATACATATATTTGTTCTGTGAACGTCTATTTTGTTTTTCAGGAAGATTAAATGCAACATTCGATGAAAATGGAGATCTAATAAAATTTTCCGGTCAACCAATTTTGTTAGACAGCACAATACCGCAAGATGATGACGTACTGCAACTCTTAGACGTTTACAGACCAGCTGTGGATGAAGTGAATAAGGAGCAAGTGGGAACATTACAAGTAACACTAGATAATAATAAATGCAGAACTGAAGAATGTAACTACGGAAACTTAATAGCCGATGCAAATGTCCTTTATAAGGCATCGATTAGTCCTGAAACATGGACAAATGCACCTATCGGGTTGATGCAGGGAGGCGGTATAAGAATGAGTGTCATGCCTGGTGTAAATCAAGGTGTTACTAGAGGAGAAATATTAGGAACGTTGCCTTTTGGTCATCAAATAGTAACTTTGACACTTAAAGGTTCTGCTTTGGTTAAAACTTTAGAACTTGGGATAAGAGGTAACGGCGAAACATCGAGGGGAGAATTTTTACAAGTTTCCGGTTTACAAATTGTTTACGATAGATCGAAACCTGCTATGTCCAGAGTTGTTTCAGTCAAAACAAGATGCGGGTCTTGCAATATCCCAATTTACGAAGACATCGATCTTGATAAAAGCTACACAATTATAACAACTGATTTTCTATCAAATGGAAATGATGGACACTACATTTTAAAGGAACAAGGATGGAATAAACAACAACAAGATTTGGGTGACGTAGACATTTTGACATGGTATTTTAATACTTATAGTCCTGTGTATGCTGAAGTTCAAGGAAGAATAAAATTCGTTAATATAGAAGATCACAAAGAAAGTTCTGCAGTGACAATTATGTGTACTAATATTAGCTTTGTTATTGTAATAATGGTAATTAAGTATTTTTTGTAAACTAACTATAATTTCGTTTTGACATGTTAATAAATAATTCAAATAATAAAGTTGGGCAGCTCTTGAACGTCGAACGACACCTCGCCTATTGTAATTTCGTTATCACCAACACACCCAAGTAACATTTTTAAGGAGAGACAAGTTATATTTTGGTTAAATAACTGTAAAACTGGAAAGATAACAGAAGTTTTCTTGAAGAATACAATTCCGACAGTTTTTGTCACGGAAAAAACATGATATCCACATTTTTTTCTTTAATATAGATTACCAGGTCATCAGCATATAAGCATGCCTTTAAAGCTTTTTATTATGTCATTTATAGCGACCAGAAACAGTGTAGGACTAATTATTGACCCTTGTGGAGTTCCATTGTCTTCGTTTTGATTTTCCGAAAAGGAATTATTTACTCTTACACAAAATGATCTATCCTTCAGAAAATTTTTGATAAAAGCAAAACAGTTGCCACGAATATTCCACGAGTGTTCTTAGAATGTTAAATCTCCAGCAGGTGTTAAAGGCTCTTTTTATGTCGAAAAATATTACAATACAAGTTTGTTTTGTTGCTAGATTCGTGAATTTCGCTTTCTAGATCCAAAATATTATCGATCCCAGATCGGTTTTGTCTAAAACTGTGGCTAGAATTTTCCAAGGTCCACATGGGTCTATGGTTGATTATTTTTTCTATTAGTTTACTCATGGAGCACGTTAAACTTATGGGTCTGTAAGATTCAGGTTCTAAACGAGGTTTCTGATTTTTTAGAAGAGGAAGGACAATAGCTTTAGACCATAGACATGGAAAGAGGTGTTGGTGCCATAATAAATTAAATAGTTGGAGAAGATATGTTTTTGCAGAATGGGGAAGATGTTTTAAAAATATTACTGGTAAATCGTCTGGTCCGGGGCTGGTATTTTTAAGATCTAGGAGAGAATTACTTAATTCAGATATATAGTGAGAGGAAGGTTTAAAGGAACATCATCATCATTATTATTCTGGTCTAAAAAGAGGTCTATGTTTTCGGTGACTAATTTGTTATTGAGAAATTCTAAATTGTAGTTATCATTCGATGACATTTTTTTATAATTTGTGGCTAAGACGTCTGCTATCTCCGGTGGATAAGTTATTACCCTATTATTAACTTTCAATGATAGCGCTATGAATTATAATTTTTCTGTGAATTTAGATTGGTTTCTTGGATGCAGATTATGCCAGGGGAATGTTCGCCTATGAGGATTTGTAACATTGCAAGTCGATGAAAGAATCCATCGATATTCCACTGAAGTAATGTTTTGAATTCTGTTAAATATTAAATAATTAGATGTTCGTATCTTTACTGACTTAAATGTGATGTGTCACTATCTGATTCCGAGACGTCATTGCTAAGATAGGCAAAGATTTTTTCAAAGTTGTGAATTTTCTCTTCAGGGATGGATCTTTTATATGGGGGTAGATTTTTGATAACATGTGTGTCACGGTTATCATATCTGAAGTATATTCTTGGACAACGTTGATAGGATCTGAAGAACCAGTTTCATTAGTTAAAAGTAACTGAAGTTGGTCATAATTAAGTATAAAAGGAGGAGAGTGGTTATTGGTAAAGTCTTTGGCTGAATCCAGTCGATGTAGATTGGAAACAACTGTTGGAGGTGAAGAGTTGGACTTCGATTTTTTAGATTTAGGTTTTGTCTTAGGAAGGGTGAAGATGCTGTTTTCCTTGTCAAGTATATACGTGTCTGGTGAAAGAATTTCATTGATGTTGCGCTTTAAGTGACCAGAGTCTTTTAATGGTGGATTTTGCTCCATAGGTAAGGGTTGAGTGATGGCTTCTTATGTTGAGTTTTCTGCGGTTGCTGTATATTCGCTGAAACGGTCATTGATTGAATAGATAAGGGTAGGATATTGGTTTGCGGTGTTATAGTGTGAGAAGGTATCTTTATATTAGCCGAGACAATCGGCATACTAAATACAGACGGTACAGTTGGAGTAGTAGTTTGTGGTATTGTGTTTGAGTGGATGGCGATGCATTTGTGGATTTGGGACACTGGGATACGATATGTCCAGGTTTTTTACAATTTTAGCAAACCATACCATCTTGAGACAGAAATATTCGATATGTGGTGTCATCAAAGTCCAGTGTGAATGAATCAGGTAGAGAAAAATTATGTAGACTCACGTAGACTTGTCTTCTAAAACTCAGTATGTGACTATATTCAGGTAGAGAAGAGCTAATTTTTAAAAAAGTTACAACTTTCTGTAATTCTTCTATTATTAAATTGTGCGGTATAGTGGTGCAAACATTTGACAGAACGAGTCTCACAGCCGGTGTTATGTCTTCTGGCTCTAACCATTTCACCTTTTATCTCAATATAACCGCTATTACCCATGAATTCCTCAACAATCTGCTTGTTTGTCAGGTACATACAAATCCGGTTGTTGGATAATCGCGAAGAGAATATATTCTTTGGTTTGATTTGGGATCCAAGGAAAATTAGGTATTATTGCAGCCGAGTATTGTCTAGAGAACTAAAAACAATTGCTTGTTCTTTGGACGGGAATTGAGTATGTGACACAGCTGAAGAATAAGTTTTTGAAGCATTAGGTTGACTTTGAGTTTGGGAAGATATTTGAGAATTACTGTTAGATTCCATATTAATTTAATGATTTAAGGTACCCAATGAATTGGATACGCCCCTGGCAGTCCGTAGATACCGCTGGCATGTGGCCGGCACAACGATTATTATAATTAGAAATTAATCACAATTTGCACTTACAGTTTTATGAATGTACACACGTAATTTCAACAAAAAATACTTTCTATATCCGCACTAAATAACTAAAAATATGTGGAGACCACGATATACATTGTTTCCATATTTTTAGTCAGGGTCGAACTCCATGCTTTATGGTTGTCTTATAACAGTTAGTTAATGAGTAATTTTAGAACTATTTAGTCTGAGATTTAGTCCTAAGATGTTTGGTGTTAATTTAGTAATTATTTTAAGTATATATGTTTTAATAAGTGTTTTAGGATTATACTTTAAATTAAATTGATCCTAGAAACTTATAGATAGATTTTCTCAATGCAATATAAATCTTTTAAAACTACATAGTTTTAATTAGAATTAAATTTAAATTTGAGTATTCTCTTCTTATTTACGCTTGGAGAAGAAAATCTTTCAAATAAAATCAATATTTACTTTTCTTTTTTAGTATCATGAGTATAGGTACTTATATCCTGGTGAAGCAATAGATGAAACAAATAAAATAATTCAATTTATTTCTGTTAAAATTATAATCTTAATAATAGTTTTTGCCTCAAACAGAACAAGTAATTAAGTTGTGATCAGCTCCTAAGTTGTAGATTTTAGAATTTTCAGTAAAAAATTCAATTTCATAACATTCTATTTATAAAAAAAAATACATAATACTAATTAATTCTTCTTTTTTTAAACGACGACCCTTTCTTTGAAAATCTCTTCCGTTTACTGGCCTTTTGGGATTTTCTTCCAAAATCTGTTATTTCATCTCCTAAACTACCTAATGTTGTAAGTTGACGTTTTTTGTGCTTTTCGGTTTTACTAATAGGCAACCGCGTCATGTATTCTTCTTCATACTCTTGCCGCTCTTGTTGCTGCTTGCTTAACACCTATGAAAAGATAATTCTTCAGTTTTACAGATTTATATAAAAGAATATTCACTATTTACATTGCTAATTGTAAATGCTAGTTTTGGACCCACTTCTTTTTATAGTTTTTATAAGTGATATAAGTAATTTTTGTTTAAGCTCTCAACAAATAGTTCAATATGCCGATGATACCAATATTGTAATGGCAGATGATCAAATTGAACAGGTCACTCAAAGTAGCAACGAGGCATCTCATGAGTTTAACCAGTATTGTAAAGATAATGGTCTGGCATTAAATGTAACAAAAACAAATTTCATGCAATTTCTACCCAAACACATATTACCAGATTAAGAATCTTACTTGCACGTTGACAGAAAAACTATTCAAAGCGTTGATGACATAAAATTTTTAGGAATAATATTAGATCCTAAATTAAATTGGGAAGCTCATATAAAAATGGTAACTTCAAAATTAAGTACTTGTTGCTATATCATCAAAAATTTAAGGGAGACACTATCTTTTGATACTTTAAAACTATGCTATTTTGGTTTGGTTCATTCAACTCTACAAAATGGGTTAATATTTTGGGGTTCTTCACCATACTTTGAAAGAGCTTTTGTATCTCAAAAGAAGGTTCTAAGAGCCCCATGTATAAGGTGACACCAACAACATCATGGAAAGAACTTTTCAAGAAAATGCAAATTTTAACACTACCTTCCCTTTTTATTTTTCAACTAATTTTATACATAAAAGATAATGAGCATATATTTAAGAAAAATAAAGACCTGCACTCATATGATACTAGATTAAAATTTAACATCCATCAACCTTTTTCACGACTACAAATAAGTTCAGTAACATATTAGAAGATACTACAGGTTATCATCAAATTAGTCCTAATGATTTAAGAAAACATTTTAATGATTTTCTTGTAAATAATGTATTTTATAGTATAGAAGATTTTTTTTAACTTTTAAACTAATCTTAACATGAATTGTCTATTATATATATTTTATTTTTTAATGTATTTTACTTAACACTTTTTTGACTAGTCTGATAGAATTTTACATTATGTACCTAGTGTCTTTGTATAGTGTATAATTCTCAAAGATGAATAATTTCTATTTCTATATTATTTGATAGTAATCTAGTACTACAGTCCATCATTCTGTACCTTTGGCAAACATATAATCCTCAAAATTTCACTCTTTCCTGGAGGCAGCTTCTGAACTTAAACTTTCATAATCATTCAAATACAAAAACTTACTTGTTGGGCTCTACTGCTCTGCGAAATTTCCAAAGGAGTATCCAGGTATTCCTCACGAAGATCCTGCATAATAGAATTAGACAGTGCTAGCTTCTTGGTACGTTCCTGTAAGTGCTTTGTTCTTTCTTTGGAAGTTTCATCACCTTAAAACAGAATTAACATTTTATACAGTCATTTAAATATCCATTACTTTTACAGAGGGCATAAACAGTATGGGAAACAATGTACTAATATTACAACAAACTTTTTCAACTCAAAAATAATTTTTTAAATTTTATGTTAATAAATATATTGATATGAATAATAAATAATAATGTTTTATTATTCAAGCTATGTAAACCAAAATAAGTAGTCAGTAAAATCAAAATTTCATTACCAACCTGTATAATGTAAGGCAGATAATTTGGGAGCAACATAAACATCACTCCTTTTTCTTTCAGCACCTGCTGAAACAGCTTCATCAGTGTCACTACCACTGTTAAGGGCATCTTTATCAATGAGGTTTTCTGGATTAGCTTTAAATGAAGTAGGGTCATCTAGTGCAGACTCAGCTACAGCAGACTTTACCAATTTATCAATCTGATATTTGAGCTTTTGATCGATGGGTTTTATTTTTTCTAAGACAGTTCTTATTTCTATTAATCTGTCTATGCATGGGTCGCCCATAATTTTTTCTCCTGAACATTTCCGCAAAACTACATATGTTAGGTTAATGAGATAACTAAGAAGCATGTTATACTTCATTTCTAGAAAACTCAGACCCTGATCAGTTGTAAGTTCTCCTTTTCTTACTTTTTGGATCATATTGTCTACTAATGTTGCTACATGTTGAGCACTCACATTCATTTCATTTAACAAAATTAAAGCTTGAGGTAAATCTTTGTGTTTCATCTTTGCAACATCCAGTGCCTATGTTGGAAAAAATAATTGTTTATTATCACATTATTATGCAAAATCATATCAAAACGGCGACAAGTTAAAATAAAATTGTTAATCAAGAGCCTTCTTCATATTTAAAACTAATTTAACATATTTAAATTGTAAATATTTTTATTATTATTGTATAAGTATTGTTTGTTAAATTAAGATATAGGCATCTACTAATACTAATAAAGATTATTTTAAAAAATAACTGTGTAGAACATAAATGAAGGATGTGATATTCTCTTCAATAAAGTATTTATTTATTTGTAAACCTGTATGGGTAGATCTGTTCAGTTCTACTCTAGCTATGTATTAATTAGGTACTTGTACATTGTGTAAAATTGTTGGTTACTGCTCCTTGAATAGAAAAATAAAATAATATAAAGTAGTAAAGTTCCAGAGGAATTTCTGTGGTTTTGGAAGATTATTACCTAGTGTCTTAGAAAGATTGACTGAAAGGTGAATGTTCAATGTTCTTAAAAACTATTTTTGATATTTCCCCACATGGTATTAGTTTTGTTTACACATAATTTTTAATATTTTAAAAGTTGTTTTGTGACCTTATCTACTTGTTTACTTTTATAATTATTTAACAATAGTTTTAACTAAAAATAGTAGGTAGCATTCAAAATTTTATATTTATAAGAGAGAGTATAATTTTTTTTTATTCAAACATCACGATATTAGGTTATTGGCAAAGTTATGTTAACAAAAATCGCCATCTTTTACCCTTACGTCTGTCAGAAAAAAAGGGAGTATTTCTTTTATATCATAATTAGTTTTTAAGAATAGTACAGGCATTGTTATTAAAAAATAAATGGAGGCACTTACCTGTACCATGTTTTTCATTTAATTGAGACAACTACAACAGCATAATTAATAGTTATTTAATAACAAACCAGATGCACGTGCAAAAACTTTTTCCTCAAAAATTGGGAATGAAATATTTTTATTTTCATTTTCCTATTGTCAATGATCGATTCCAATTAATCACACAATCGAATGAGTTATTTGTCAGAATGTCAAAAATAATTCGATTTTTATTTTTTTAGTGCTCGATTTCCAATGATATATAGTAACATAGATTGCTCATCTATATATAAATCTGACAACAAAAAGCGGGATTCATTTGCTGCGTTTGAGAATCCACATCGGATGCATCTGAGATGTAAAAAATCTTTGATCACGTGATTCAGTATACGTAAATGTAATGGGACAGATGTGTCCGATGTGGATAAAAAAACGCTCGAGATGTAAAAAATGCATCCGATGTGGATTCTCAAACGCAGCAATTGAAGGAAGTATTAGGCATTCTTTCCAACGACCTGTCCAAATGGCTACGGGGAATGACAGTTTAGATATGGCAACCCTGCTGTGGCCTTGTCATTGACAGGTCAATGATTCATATATAGTTCTATAGATTGCTCAAACCGATGGCCATATTGCCTCGCAAGTGCTCATTAATTCGATTTTTAAGAAAAATTGTTCAAATAAAATTTGTTTGTGATGTCATCATTCTCTATAATTCTTGTTGCACCATTATTAACTGTCACTGAATATTAAATTATTAAATTTCTTTTTTTTTTTCGAATCTTTAGCACCCTGTATTTAATCGTAAAGCAACATTTTTGGACCATAGTTTATAAAGCAAATTATAATTTGCTTTATAAAATTAATAATAATTAATTATCATTAATTTTTCATGTAGATTCACACCCTAAAATATTCGCACATCATACATCTTTGAAGTTTTGGCATTGGTAATTAGATCTATTTGCCACAGAAGTATTAAAATTACTATATATCTAATTGTATGACCCCTGTATACTTGATGCATGTTACATTTGAGTGAGCAGTCTATATGACTATATACATCATTGTCGATTTTGCACTTGCGATCAGTGGCGGGCGGTGAAAATATTTTATTGAAATATATCTGACAAACCGGCAAGCAGGTGGCAGCACTGTTTGTTTATCATTTGTTGAGTTAAAAGGACCCAAAAGGCAAACACCAAACAGAAAATTAAAAAAAACTTTCAATCTTTTAAGAGATTTTCTTTATTTTGCATACATTAAGTGCTTAGCTTTTTTCATATTTGTTTGACTTCTTTTCTCCTTGGGAAAAGTGAGATTGTGGACTGTGGTTTTGGCTGTTAAGAACTGAGAACCATACACAAATTCACAGGATAAATTAAATAGACTTTTTAATGTTCAAATAATGGATATAAAACAAGAACTTGTTGATATTCAAGAAGACGGTTTTGAAATCAAGCCAGATCTGGTTAATGTTGATGAACTTAAACAAGAACTGATTGGATACGAAGTGCCTAAAACTGAAAAGTTTTCTGATTATTTGCAACCAAAAATTGACCATGATTTGGTGCTCGAACACTTACAAGTATGCCCTACAATCATTGTTAAACAAGAGCTTGACAACATTAGTGAAGAATGTGGTCAGTCTCAATTTAAAAATGAACTTTTGACTACAGATTGTGATTTACCAACTTTGAAAATTGAGAGTACTGAGTTTACGGATTGTTTGATAGAGCCTTGTGAGCAGAAGCAAGGTGAAAATATATCAAATCCCTTTAAAAATATCTTGAATGTTTCAAAAAGGAGGAAGCAGTACCCTTGTCCTGTCTGTCGAACATGTAAGTGTACAAATAATAAATATATTATCAGAGCTGAATATAACTGTCAAAATTAGAATTTTGCATTATTGCCAGGTTACCATTAGTAACCATAATAATTTTAATAAGATTATGATTTAGGGCTTTTAATTCACATACCTAACCAAAATATAAAAAATATGTAATTGTTTGAAAAAACTTATTTCACCTTACTAAATTTATAATATAAAAATGAATCGCAAAATGTGTTGGTAAGCGCATAACTCAACAACGCCTGGACCAATTTTACCAATTCTTTTTTTTAATGTTCGTTGAAGTCTAAGGATGGTTTTTACGGCGAGAAAAATTCGAATAATATCCGGGAAAACACTAAAAACAGCCCTTTTCTTTTTCCCATATATCTTCTATATAAAAATGAATCCCTATTTCCCTTGGTCACGGCATCACGCGTGAACGGCTGGACCGATTTCGCTAATTCTTTTTTTGTTGTGTTTGTTATTGTCAGGAGAAGGTTTTTATGAAAGAAAATATTAAGAAAATTGCGTGGAAAATTAGAAAATTTCTATATATATAAAAATGAATCCCTATTTCCCTTGGTCACGGCATCACGCGTGAACGGCTGGACCGATTTCGCTAATTCTTTTTTTGTTGTGTTTGTTATTGTCAGGAGAAGGTTCTTATGAAAGAAAAAATTAAGAAAATTGCGAAAAAAATTAGAAAATTCTATATATATATAAAAATGAATCCCTATTTCGCTTGGTCATGGAATCACGCGTGAACGGCTGGACCGATTTCGCTAATTCTTTTTTTGTTGTGTTTGTTATTGTCAGGAGAAGGTTCTTATAATAGAAAAAAATAAGAAAATTGCGAAAAAAATTAGAAAATTCTATATATATAAAAATGAATCCCTATTTCCCTTGGTCATGGCATCACGTGTGAACGGCTGGACCGATTTCGCTAATTCTTTTTTTGTTGTGTTTGTTATTGTCAGGAGAAGGTTCTTATGAAAGAAAAAATTAAGAACATTGCGCGGAAAATTAGAAAATTTCTATATATATAAAAATGAATCCTTATTTCCCTTAGTCACGGCATCACGCGTGAACGGCTGGACCTATTTCGCTAATTCTTTTTTGTTGTGTTTGTTATTGTCCAGAAAAAAAACAAAGAATGTTGTATATCATAAAGCATTAGAATAATAAACACTTTGTTTCTGAAATATTTTTTTAGTTAATTATACGAATTCGAAATCAATATTCATAGTTAAGACAGGACAACGTCTGTCGGGTCCGCTAGTTAAAAATAGAAATACAGGATATTTTGTAAACCACCTATATGCCATGAAAATGTCAATTTTTCAGCAGTCAACTGTGGTTTTCTAATAAATAATACCTTGATAAGACATTAAAATAATTTTCCTAGCATTTTAAATTCTTATGTCTAGCCTTAAATAAAAGTAATGTATGATCCAAGGACAAAAAACACTTTTCCTCAGGACCTTTTTGTATAAATAATTATTAATCTAAGTACTTCTGATTGCAATTTCATCCACCTAAATACTAGAATTGTTTATCCACCCATTATTTTAGTTTTTAGTGACCTTATTTTCGTTTTTTCTACCCAAATTATAATATAAGTACTTCTATCCAAATATTGACCCTTAGAGTTTTCAAAAATTAATTTATGAAAGAAAATGTTCCACTTATTTTATTTTGCAAATATACAAAAATAAGATTGCTTCAAGTTTTAAAATACAAATTTTTATCGTTATCTTTACAATACTGGTTAAACTCACGAGATGCCTCGTTGCTACTTTGAGTGACCTGTTCAATTTGATCATCCACTTTTACAATATTGGTATCATCAGCATATTGAGCTATTTGTTGAGAGCTTAAACAAAAATTACTTATATCACTTATAAAAACTATAAAAAGAAGTGGGTCCAAAATTTAACCTTGGGGAACTCCTATTGTACATGGAAGAGGATCATATTTTAGACCATTTGTTACAATTACTTGAGTTTGATTTATTAAGTAAGACTGTATCCATTCATAAGGTTTTCCTCGTATTCCTAACCCATTCATCTTCAATAATAAAAGATTATGATCCACCATATCAAATGCACGGCTAAGGTCATAGAAGAGTCCCAAAATATGTTTTTTATCATTGAGTGCTTGATATATAAACTCTAGGCAAGCTGCAATTGTAGTAGATGTTGACTTATTTTTTCTAAATCCATTTTGACTATCTGGCAACATATTAAAACTTTCAAGGTAATTAGTGAGTCTAATAAAGTATGCTAACTCAAATATTTTAGTTATTTGACTAGATATACAGACTAAAACGATAATTTTCTATATTAGATGCAGATCCCTTATTTTTATAAAGAGGAATACTTACATTTTGTTTCTGTAAGATTAGATTTAGATCAAAGCATTTATTGGCAAAACCTCCCTGTAAATTGATATGCATTAAAGTAATATTTAACTGTTGGGAACTACAAAATAGTAATTCATTATTTTCTTTCAAAAAGTGGTTTTCCACTTGCAGCAAGTGTTTGTAAGTTTCCATGTTTAGTGTGTATGTATTGCAGTAATATCTTTTTGTAAATAAAATATATTATTATTATTATTATTTAAAAATTTACTCAACTGACAAACAGTTTGACATTTGTTTCAAGTAATTTACAAAAAACATTTAACTCATTTGAATTTGAGGGGAAATCTCAAGATTAAATCTGATGATTTAAATTTCAAAAAATAAATAAATTATTATTATGATTCAGCCGTTCTTTTTCATTTACAGATTTCTCTTCTTCCGGATCAAGGTCGAACCATCTTGATGGACATTTTCGAAAATACTTCGTAGTTTGTATGTATTGTGGAAAATTAATAACAAAAAATGTAATTTTCCGCCATTATTTTGTTCATCGAGTGAAAAATAAAAATAGAAAAAAAACTCAGACAATCAATGAAGAAAATGTAATTGACACTAACGAGAAATCATTTAAGTGCGATATTTGTTTAAAAGGATTTAATCGAAAATCCAACTTACAACGCCATTTAATAATTCACAGAACTGGAAAACCATTTATTAGTTCCATAAAATATGAAGTAAAATCAAAGTTACAGAGACAATTAATAATTCACTATAATCAAAAATCGTTCAAATGCGACATTTGTTTCAAAGAATTTATTAGGGAAAGTAACTTACAGAAACATTTAGTAACACACACTAATGAAGAGCCATTTAAATGTGACGTGTGCTCTAAAGAATTTCAACGGAACTCTATCTTGCAGCGACATTTACTAATTCATTCTAATGAAAAACCATTTAGATGTGATATTTGTTTCAAAGAATTTAATCAGAAATCTTACTTACAACAACATTTACTAATTCATACTAATACAAAACCTTACCAATGTGACATTTGTTGCAAACAATTTAATCAGAAATCTTACTTACAAAAACATATTTTAATTACTCACACTAATGAAAAACGGTTCAAATGTGACGTTTGTTCTAAAGAATTTAAACGGAACTCGATCTTACAATTACATTTACCAACTCATTCTAATGAAAAACCATTTAAATGTGACATTTGTTTCAAAGAATTTAAACGAAAATGTTCTCTATTGACTCATTCATTGATTCATTCTACACAAAAACCATTCCAGTGTGATATTTGTTCCAAAGAATTTAAACGAAAGTCTGATTTACAGACACACTTAAAAATTCACACTGAAGAAAAACAATTCAAATGTGACATTTGTTCTAAAGAATTTAATCGAAAAACTCACTTGAAGAGGCATTTATTAATTCATGGTGGTGAGAAACCATTTAAATGTGACATATGTTCCAAAGGATTTACTGAGAAATGTCGGTTGCAGACTCATTTGGTCACTCACACCGATGAAAAACCATTTAAATGTAACATTTGTTATAATGGATTTATTCATAAATTTAGCTTACAGCAACATATGATTATTCACAGTGGTCAAAAATCATTCAAGTGTGAAATTTGTTCCAAAAAATTTACTCTTAAATCTCACTTACAGCTTCATTTAATAAGTCACAGTGCTGAGCATCCATTTAAGTGTGACATTTGTTGTAAAGAATTTAAACGAAAATTTAATTTACAACAACATTTATTAATTCATTCTAAATAAAACCTATTACGTTATTTCAACAAAATTAGGCTAAAAGTTAACTTACAGACTCGTTTAATAAATCACATTTCAGAGCTGCATTTGTAAAAAGAACAGAAAATGCTGTAAATTTAATAAAAACTGTTTCCAAATATAATTGAGATGCAGACCCAGAGATTGCGGACCCCAACATAGCCATCCTTTTTTTATATGGTGTTAATTAGATCAATTTTTGACTATGGTGCAATATTATACAATGATGCATCAAATACTCATCTGCAAAAATTGGACAGAATAAAATACAAATGGCTTAGATTATATAAGAATAGATTTTCTCCCAAGTACTCCAAATTAATGTAATAGAATCAGAAACTACAGAACATCCTCTCAATTTTAGAAGACAATTTTTAATCCGCAAAATTTTTAATAAATGAAAGGTCGAAAAATTCGTTTCTTCTCCCCCTCTTATCTAATTTATCTTCTGTGTCTAACTGGAAAGTATTGTTTAAAGAAAAAACTACCTTTACTAGTAGATACTTTTTTAACTACCATTGAAATGATTCCAAAATGAAATTCCATTATGGTCCATACATTTTTCAGCTTTAACAACCCCTTTGAAAACATATATAAACCAAAAACTACTGAATGAAAACCCTCTAGTGATTAAAAACGCATTTAAAGAAGATTTAATAAAAAAAATTAAATACATTTGAAAACATATAGGTACACAAAAATTATGAAATTTCATTTAAACTTCCCAGTACAATGTCAATATACAATACTGAACTTGATGCTATAGAAGAAGCTTGTACTCAATGTCTTCAAGAAAATAAATCTAAGTATGTTATATTCACTGATAGTAAGAGTGCAGTAGAATATTTTGCAAAATGGAACCTTACCAGTCTTTTCAACTATATAGCCTCAGATATTCTTAAGCTTAACTACCAATGCTCATTTAATTATTCACTCTGATTTAGTACCATTTAAGTGTAAGGTTTGTTTCAAAGATTTTAAACGAAAATCAGCCTTAACACAACATTCATTCATTTTATTCAAAAGCCGTTCAAATGTGAGCTTTGTTTTAAAGAATTTACTCTGAAATTTGGATTAAACACATTTAATTATTTACCATTCGAATATGAAGTGTCTAAAGAAATTTAATCATAAATCTATTCTACAGAAATAAATAAAATAAAGTTTATTTTTTAATGTTGTTTTAATTTAAAGATTTCCCTTTTAAATCAAGATTAAAATGTCTTGATGTACATTTTCGGAAACTCCTTGTACTTTGCAGGTTTTGAAGAGAATTCGTGACAAAACTAAAAATTATTTGCCCCAAAAGAGTAGATAATATACATGAAAAATAACAAATAAAATGGGTGTTTTGAGAAATAGCATTATTGGGTGATAATAAATTTCGAAATAGCAGTATGAGTGGCGACTTTATTTTTGATTTAATTTTTTACATCCAGTTCACTACCTATAATGAAATTGGCTTTGGACGGATTTACCCTAAGTTCCTGTACTAAATACCCGTTTTCTATAACAAATAGGACCTGGTAACTGCAAAAATTACATGTCTTTAGTTTTTAATTTAAAAATAGCAGTGGTGATCAGAAACATCCCAAATCTCAACACATTATAGGGTGCATGTAAATAAATGAGGAGCGGCTTAATTCAAGGAATCGATCAATTTTTTCCTGTAAATATCATATTATTGCTCTAATTTAGAGATAATTCGAAAAAAAAATTTTATTTTGACATTCAAAATAAAATTCTGACATATTCATTAAATATGTCAAATGTCATTTTCTACTTCTTTACTTTATTCATTTTACAGTGTCCTTTATCTTAATACAATAAAGCGTACGAAAAGAGTAGTCGAATAATCGATTCGAACAGACCAGTACGTATTTAGCCAAATTTCTTCAAAATACAGGCCTCGTATTTTTATAAAGTACAGAAGAAGAGAATGACAGATAACAATTCATTTTCAAATTTTGATGATTGCCAAGCCGCCAAAGTTTTTATAAGTTTACAAGCGGATTAAAAAGTATTGGCTAATTTTTAAGATGAACGCAATACTTGAGGTTTTATTTTTTGTTGACGATCCCGTTATTTAAAAGGTGGTATAGGTTTCAAATGCTAATAACAATTTTTCATTTTAGGATATCGGATTTAATAAACCGCTGAAGTTGGAAAAGCTGGAACATGATTTTGGAAAACAAAAATGGAATTGAAAGATCGAGGTGACTTGTTACTGCATATAGAAGAGATTTCACGAATTATACAAATTCCCTTTGTCATTTGCAAAATATAGCAGCACACAATTATATAATGTATGTGAGCTTTATTTTTATCTACTTATATTTTGTCAACATTTCTTAATCAGATTTTGTATATTTTCATCCATGCTGAAATTGTAGTTTTTTTGAAGATGTAGTAATGACCTAATGAATTTGATCACTTCATACTGAATTTAGTACAAACTCTACTGAAACAACAGCTCTATTTTTTCTTCTTTAATTTGAAAAAGTAGAAACAATAAATTTCAAATCCCAACAGATCAAAAACTACATGTAAATGAAAGAGATGAAGTGTCTTGAATTCACAAATTTTTCTGGCATATCTTTTATAAATCATTTTGTTACTCTAATTTTTGAGAAAATTTAAATAATACCTTTATTTGTTAATGTAAACTTGGACTTTTTGTGATTACGGTCTGTCACTATATCAATGAATAATAATAATTGTCATTTATTGAACTGAAAATTCAGTCCAATAGGCTATTGACCGACGTCCTTCTGCCTACTATATTAATTCCTCTCTTATTTTGACATTTGTGCATGCAGAAATTAGAATGAAAGAACCTCTTGTTTTTGTTCTAGAACTGATTTTATTAAAGATTGTGGCCAGAGACAACTAATGAGACGGTTAACTCAATGCAATTTTGCTTTTCACCAAGAATTGACTGGGCGATTGGACTGGAAGATAAGGCCGATGGCGCTGGTATACCTTGTGTTTTAATAGTGGCCTTTTTCTTTATAAGCAACCGGTCAAATTATAATTTTTTTTAAAAAAAGAAGAACCGCGGGAAATATGTAGATCTACTTTATCAATTATTTTTATGATTTTTTTCTGATTTGATGCACTGGAAATGTGAATAAATATGTAATTCACATTTACTAGCACATCAAATCAGAAAAAAAAATCATTTTTTTGTCTCTGTAGTGGCTCTCCTTTTTAAGGGCAGTAGATAGTGCTTTTGATTTCTTTTTTCATATATATTTTATCATATCCCTTATTAACGCTTAATATTTATGATTTCAGTAGTTGAAGTTCAATCATCCAGCAGTAAATTTATTGGGAAGAATGCCTGTAAGAGGACAATTTATTTAGCGTAACAGCAACTTGGAGAAAAAACATCACTTCCTAGAAATTACTTCAATTTTATTTCACGTCACTAAATCTACTAATTCCAGTTTTTCTACTGGTATTCAATTTGGGTATCTATTCTTTAATGTCGGGGAGTAGAAATTTTGAGGAAAGAAGTCAAAAATCCAAGTTTTGTGGGTTGCATATAAAGCAGAAAAAATGGTTTTCTACTCCCTTAAATTCGAGAATAGTACCCAGCTCTTAAAATGTATATTGTAATATTAAATAAATACAAGAAACCGTTGCAAGTTTCGATTTTTACAGAAATCTTCATGTAAATGAATGAATTAAGTCACCATTATACTGTCAAAAGCGAAACTCTGCAGTTTTTATTTTTGAATGTATTAAGCCTTTAAATTAAATGAGAGTTGAATATTCAAAAGATCTGCTAATGATTTATATGGTCAATTATTCAATTTTGTGATATGTCAATACTTTGAGAACAAGAAAATTATAAAATGTTTCCTAAGAATTAAAGGCATTTGTTTCTAGACTAATTGAAATTAATGTTTTTGTTAAATATTTATTATATTTACGTATAAAGCTGGATTTATAAACTACGCTTAAATGGCGCTCAGTTCGAGTTGACAATACATAACCACAAAATAAATTATATTTTGTTTTTATTTTTGATTTACTTATATTTGTAGATAGTGTTGGTCATAAAATAATTATAAATCCGTTATAATTTCTTATCCAAAACATACTATCCGTGTCATTCTGCTTTGTTTATAAATCCACCTTAAATGTTGCATCGATTTTTAATGACAATTTTAATCAATATCCCTATTTTTTACATTAGTGAGTTACCTTAGCAATATACTGTAATCTACCCCTTTGAATATTTATGAAAAATGTCACAATCTAAGTTTAACGTAACTTTAGGGGAGATCCTACGTACATTTGCTGAAACTCTCTAGTATCTAACATTTACTTGTTGCAACTCCTTACTTTTTAACCTACTTCAAAAAAGGAGGAGGTTCTCAATTCGTCGAAATATATTTTTTTATGTATGTTCAGCGATAATTCTTTAACACAGTGTCCGATTTCAATGATTCTTTTTTTGTTAGAAAGGGAGTACTTTAGGGGTGATCGCATATAAATTTGGTCAAAATCTAATAATTGGGTCCATTAGAAAATCTCAAACTCTTCATTTTTTATGTATGTTTAGCGATAATGTTTTACCACCTTGTCCGATTTATATGATTCTTTTTTGTTAGTAAGGGGATACCTCAGGGGCGGTCCCATATAAATTTGGTTAAGATGTGATGATGGCATCTACTCATTTTTAAAGTAGCTTTTTTTTTAAATTTCTAATTCTTGTAATTAAATAATGTTATTTTTATTCTTTATTGTTTAAATGTTGTATGTCACTGAATATTGTATGTTTGTGCTTCTGTTCTGTCTAAACTTTAAATCAAAACTGGCACTGTACAAAAAGTTCCATTTTTTAACTATTATTTAATTTTATTACTTCTCTGGTCAACAAATAAGTTAACAATATAATACATAAAAGAAAGTTCCATAGACAACAAAAGAATTGAATTTGTTTCAATTTATGTATATTTCATAAATAAACATTTCTT